GGGAAAGTTAGGCAATAAAAATTGTAATGCAACCAACTAAATCTTCTATCTACCATGAATAACACAAGAGAGATATGTAAACTTTTTCTATTTACTGAATAATTTCTCCTATTAGTTAAAATATAAAATATTGTTTTTTATACTTCTCTCAATTCTACTAAGGTTGACTATACATTAATAAATCAACTATTCTTGAGATGAGAGATCATAAGGAGGTAGCCAAAGTTGAAGCTATTCTTGAACTTCACACTAAACAAACCTCATTCGCTGAGCAGGTTCAGCAACCTACACTTTATTAAAGACAAAGCAAAAATAAAAAATCGTAGTTAGTTAAATATCACAAATCGAAAATCACCGATTTTCCAACAGCTTAAAATGCAACTAAGAACCATTTAGTGTTCCGATAAGTGGCAACTACAATTATTGTAGTTATAAAAAGCTTTCAAAATTAATAAAAAGAAGTTTAGAATATACCATATTAATATATCACATTTAAAATCCCATTATATTAATACCATATATTATATGATAGATAGATACATATATACGTAGCAAAAGTCTTAATACCTCATATGAGATAGAGTTCAAATAATTTAGGAGTCCATGTATCTTTAGATTAACTTTATAATATAATATAATAAATTTTTACATAATAAATTAAAGGTTTACCAAATACCAATAATTAACTCTTTTATATTGATTTCTTTCTTTGCCTAATTTTACATAATTGAACACGTCAATTTTACATAAAATAAAATAAAATTAATATCCTAATTAGGAGCGTATAATTACATTTCCAATTCAACTTCCTTTTAGTAAAAGGATATTCAAAACACAGATATGGGTGTTCATCTACCTATTAGTGTAAATAGAAATGCTTATATCAAATTTACACTACTAGAATTTCTCTTATTACATGTAACTTTTCCTGCAAATTTTTCTGCGAAATTTTATTTGCAGGTAATACCTTCGTGGATAATATATTTTTGCGAATTTTAAAATTTGCAGGAAATTTTCCTGTAAAATTTATTGCGAAAAAAATTCGCAGGAAAGTTTCCTGCAAAAAAAAATTTGCAGGAAATTTTCCTGCAAAAAAAAATTCGTAGGAAAATTCATAGGAAACTTTCCTGCGAATTTTTTCGCAAGAAATTCTGCAAGAATATTTTTTACGAAAAAAATTAAAAAAAAATACTATAAATTCTATATTTTAAGAACTCATAATCTTTTATTTTCATGTCTCATACATAATCTTTTAAATTCTAAGATTGTAGATTATAAGTCTAACACTCAACTATACAATTCAACTTGTAAGGTAAGTGTTACTCCAACTTATATATGCTTTAATTGTTTTATTTTCAATCGATGTGGGACTTGAAGATTTTTTAAAATATTAAAATTATGAATTTAAATATATTTTTTATTTTTCCTGCGAATTAAAATTTGCAGGAAAATTCGCAGGAAAAGTTAGCTGCAAAATTTTTCTACTATTTAGTAAACATTACTTGCGAATTTATTTTTGCAAGAAAATCTGCAAGAAACAAAATAAAATTCTTGCAATATTTTCTGCAAATTTTTACCATTGAAATTTTTTTTCCATGATTATTAAAATTGTAGCAAAATTTGTAAGAAATATCTGTAAATTATTTTTTGCAGGAAAATTTGTAAAAAATTTCTGCGAATAATTTTTTGCAGGAAAATTCGCAAAAAATTTCTGCAAATATTTTTTTGCAGGAAAATTCGCAAAAACTTTCTACAAATATGTTTTTGCAAGAAAATTTGCAAAAAAATAACACTTTTCTAGTAATGTTATTAGTGTCATTAATATAATAGGACATGAATATATAAATAGAAATGCTTGAATTTAAAAAAAAAAAAAGAACTCACATTATTATATATATCATAAAAAGGCATTGTGTAAAACACATTATACAATAAAACATTACAAGATTCCTTTTACAAGGCATTGTGTAAAACACATTATACAGTAAAGCATACTAGCCAGGTTCTCCATCCAAATGGAAAAAAAGAAATGGACAAAAAAATGAAAAATATATCCTGTGTTTTTTTTGTCCAATTACAATTTTATTCAATTGAAACTATATACAAAATCTTAATGTTGAGACTTGTTAAATAGTTAATCTAATCCTAGTCTCCTCAATACAAGAGCCAAGAATATATATGCCTATATCTTGTATTATAACATGATAGACTAAAAACTTTTCTATTTTGATTATAAATTTAACAAATAGATGACAGTGGCAAAAAAGTACTTCTTATTTCTAGTTCTAGACTAATGGGAGATTCTTAGTCTTCTTGTAGTGGTGAGAACAACTTGGGTGACTCTAATACCTACTTAGACAAAATGTATTAAATTCCTAATGAATTAAATTTATGAATTGGACGTTCCGTGTTTTTAATCAAATACACATAAATGATATAATCCTTAACTTTTTAGATCAATCAAACCATGTGTAAAGATCCCATAAAAAAATAAAAATAAAAATAAAAAAGCTTGAACAAAGCTAGGAGTCAGAACATGAATAAAAAGTCTATGATTAAGATTCATTATTCATAGTCATGCAATGAATTTTATTAGCTCTTTGTTACAATTAAAATAGGAACAAACAAGCATAAAGGGACAAGAAGACCAGCTTTACCTTGTCTTGATCCCACCAACATCCCACACGGTGAAGCTGATGCTCTTGTACTCCACAGTCTCAACATTAAATCCTGCATAGAAAAAAGTGACTCTCATTAATTTATTAATTTATACATGTACAATTATAAGAGACAATACCATTTAAGTTTCCATGATCATTAATAATATCATTGCACAATTGTCTGAACTACCATAGTGGAAAACAAATCAATAAATTGAAATTTGTGAAAAATGGATCACTTGAAACTTGTGAAAACTAGTCACTCTTACATGGTTATACCCCTTTTCCCAAATAACTTCTCATAAAGTAGAATGCAAATCCTGTTGATCTAACCATCGAAACCTTATGCTACTAATTAAAAACTGGCTCTTGCATGCATATAACATCAACTTCTACCACCTCTAAATTGCTACCATTTCAATTCTATAATTTATTAGCAAAAAAATAACCCCTTAGTAACACATTTATTCATCACGTGCAATCTTTTAACATCCTTATAAATTATAATTTCCATAACGAAGAAAGACAACACAATCATCATCCCATAACATCCTTATTATTATAACATGATCATAATTATAACTATAAATATAATTCAAAATAAAAACAGAATTTAAATAATCAACTGGAATGGTAGAATGACATTCATGAATAAACCAAATCTTCTAGAACTACTTAATTGAATTTAAAACTATTTGCCACTTTCATCAGGAGGGATCTCCATGAAATTCAAGGCAATCTCCTTGCGCAATCTCCCAGCATCACGTGGAAGTGTCAAGCACAACCCTATCTATTAAAAACCCATATCACAAAACCAATACATCCAAGAACATAAAAATAATCGTACATCAGACAAATTAAATTTAGAATCACACCAATTCCTAAACAAATAAATCATTTATCATAGTTACAAACCAAACTAACAATGGAATGAAGTCACTGGCCTAGGCGAACAAAAGAGTTTGAAATGCAAACAATTGCACATTGACACAACTTGTCATTGTGCACCCTTAGTTCACTGCCACAGCAACCTCCGAAGTCCAAACCATCGTACCCAACTAAACTTGTGCGTTAACGAAATAAATGAACGACAAGCAGCGTGACTTGGAACGTTCCAGAAGGCATTTGCACCAGCAAATAACCCTCATTTTCCTTGTCCTGCAAAACTTACACCTTTTTGGGATTAACCATTTGTGCCACAAACAACGCCAAATTCTCCGCATTCTTTTGATTGAAAGAGTCCACACTATAAGCCATGTCGTTACAGCTGCTTCCTATTGCTTCTTATTGTTCCCAAACTATAAGTTTCAAATCTCCGGTCAGAGATTGGGTAGGGTTTCCCTTTGTGCTTGATGATGGTACTCCAATAATTGCACCAATTTTCATGTAGAATCATCCTTCAGTGGAGCATCCTCCATTGTGAGCTCTCTCACTATAAAAAAAATGCGTAATTTGTGGCGATTATTTTGGAGGTTTCTGGCGGTTAAAAACGCCACAAATCGTATTTTCAGCGTCCGTCAGATTCACGGTCGTTAAAAATAGTTTGTGACGAATACTTTGTGGCGGGTTTTAGCCGCCACAAAATGCATTTTAATTTTGTCTAATTCACCGTTTTCTGGCAATTTTAAACTGCCATAAAATTGCGTTTTTGTTTGACTTGTTTTACATTTTATGGCAGTTTAAAACTGTCACGTGCCACATGCTGGTGAAAGCATGGCCAGTTTTGCAAATCCAACCAACACATGTCCTTTTTGTATTACTCGAACTCAAGAAAATAAACAAATAAAAGTGTGACAAAGAGGGGAAAAACCTTGAAATAGCTCATGAGCTCAATGTATGACATATACAGAGCATCAGTCAAGCCATGGCCAAACTAGACTGACCAAAGGAAAAACCAGATTTGATAACATATAAAAGCTTTCCCAAACTAATGCAATGTGCCCATCATAAAGAAATTAAATTAAAACTGCACTGAACAGGTTATATGAAGCACCATATAGGTTTCCAACTTAACATTACACATAAAAACCTTCTAAAGGATGATAGAATAATACGGATGAAATTGCTCATACTTACCAATGCAATCTTCCTCAGGTGTCATCTATAACAGAGCCTTCTAAAACCCAGCAGGCAGTTTAAGGTGCTTGCAAGTTTGTGAATTTCTTCCTTGATCCATTTTGATCATTTTTTTTTGTAGCAACTCACTATCTTCTTATCTAATTCATAATATTCTTCCATTTTACTCATTCGCTTCAAATCCAAGTCAATAAAATACACCTAATAGAGATCAAATTTCAGTTAAACTAAGATATAAATGTAACAAGCATTATAGTTATTTTTGTTTTATAAAGATAAAGAGAATTGAACTATCAAAAATGGCAATATCGTACTTTCATATTCATGGCTAAAGGAAGCAATAATTCAAACCTTTCTTTTTACATAAATTAAGATATCTATGAAATAACAAGTGATCAACTCGTTCACAAGATGCGTGTTAGTCCATACTCCATATACATTAAGACCCCATTTCAAAGGTTTTTGGTTTTATTGCTTCATTAAAGCAAACACCACAAATTTGAGTTCAATAAAAAATAATAATAACAATAACAGTGATTCTTCTAGTGCTTTTTAGTTTTGAGAAGCACGCTAGTTATAATAGTTATCTTTTATATACGGCCCAAACAGTAGTGAGAATATTTATAAAAGTGAAGTGGTTGAGCAATTTAAGTTGTTGCACGTAGGGAGTTAGCTTAAATAATATGAAAATTGAGAGGGAAGGTGAGGTGTTTAGATTTGTTACCATTGAGAACAGAGTAGTAGCTCAGTTGTAAAAGGGGAAATCTTTGGAAGGAGGATTCTCTCCTTTAGCCTCTGTTACAATTTCAGCAACGCATTACAAACATGTTCTTTCTCTTTTCTCTTCTTTTTTTCATCATCTCCCTTTAATCTTCATTCTATTTTTGGATTTGTAACACCTCTTCTATTTGAAACCTGAATCAATACAATTTTACAATATCTATACTATTTTTTCTAATTTTACATACTTTTTTGCTATAAGGATTAGTTTCAATACGATGGAATATCAACTCATTCCAAAGCTAATCAATAGTGAATGATGAAGTGCCACATAATTAATAAAATAAATAAATGATATATTAAGGATTAAACAATAAATATACCAATTTAAAAATATTTAAATTAATAACAATTAAATAAAAAACTAAAATTAAAAAATCCACATTTTTTGTCACTCTTTACCTTACACCTCTCTTTTAATTGTTCCACTGTTATCTCATTCTAATTTTTCCGAATTTCCACTGCCACATGTAGCATGAAACAATATATGATAACAATGTATAACATATATCCCAAAATCTGCTTACTAATTCTTCATTTCATAGAGTCTAACTATTTCCTTGAGTGAATTGTAATCATCAAAGTAAAAAATATCAGTAGCAATATGCTATATAAGGATGCTTTGGTGAAACTATATCATATCAATGCTCCAATTCAAAATAAAATATTTCAATTTGCTGCTTTTCTTTCAATGGCATCCTTTCTTTGATACAATTTGAGGAGGAAGGCATAGTGAGAACTGAGAAGCCCCAACTAAGAAAAGAGAGAGACCAAAAAATTAAGACTTTTGTTTTAATTTTAGTTTCTTATTTAACTATTTTTTAATTTGATCTTTTCAAAATTATAATATAGTTATTTTTAGTTCCTAATGTATATTAGTTATTTAATTTATTTAATGATGTGCCACTTTGTCATTCACCATTTGTACATTCTAGAATGAGTAAATGTCCCACTGTATCTGAACTCTTTTTCTTCTTTTATGCACTAAAAAAATTGTTTTTATAGAAGTGAAATTCATAGAAGATTTTATATTATTTTTATCTAACAAATTCCTGAATGAACTTTATTAGTAGCTTTTTAAAAACACCTACAAGACAGAAGCTTTTAAATCAACATCATTATCATATGAGGCCTAAACCTATCAAAAGAAGCTAAACCAAATGAATCATGCAATGCACTATCAATCTTAGCAAAATAAATAAATAAACAAATAATAAAAAAGATATGAAAGCCTGCCTACCTTGAAGTCAAAGGCTTGCTTAGTTGACTCGAGATATATGCTACTGCATTCAGATCCAAAATCCCCTTCTTTCCTGGGTCTAAAAAATATCATAAAACTGCAGTCTTTTGCTGTTGCTACTATTAGGTAGTCCTTTACAATTCTCAAGCTTTCATCCAACCAAGCAGAATGCAAAGAGGAATATCTTTTGAGTTGCTCTTCACTCAATTCTCTACATATCATGCATTGTTGACGAGTTATGTCATAATATGCATGGATAGCTCTTTCTATGTCAACATTATCAAGCTTCTGAACCTCTAGGAGCCGATCAAGGACTCCTAATTTTTTGATAGCCTCAGCAACAAGAGTAAGCAAGTTCTTTGTACAGTGACCATCATCAGCTCAAATGACAGACTTAAGTGCATCTTCAAATGCTATAATTATGGATTTCTGCAGCATATTCATTGTATTCAATATTATAAACATACATTGCTATCATAGCTTGAAATTGAATTTCATTTGTGTGCATTATTTAAAACTAAAGAACAGTTGAAGTTCTAGATGCAGGATATTGTATGCATGTATTCCAATTAAAAAAAACTACTGTAATTTCATCCTCCCAAGTAGAGGTCACTCGAATGTATTACAAGATGATGAACACTTCTTGTTCTGGCATTTAAGAACCTACACTTTGAACAAGTTACCTCTAGTTTTATTAAAATGCACAAGTGTTACTAATACAAGCTAATGTTGCATCTTAGGTACAAAAGACAAGAATTTTGAGTATTGAAATTTTGGTAACCATTTCAGCTGAAATTAGTTCCAAGCCTCGGGATGACAGAGCCTCCTGACACCCTATTACTCATACAATGAAGACAGCCCAATTTTTCAGTTTGCATATGGCCTTTTGGCTAAATGGCAGGGTTTTTATTAGAGGTTGGTGCAATTTGAACAAAAATGGCCTATCTCTGCTGTAAACAAATCCAAATACTCGTCAAAACATGGTTCCAAGCCCTAAACCCCAAACCCTGCAATCATTCACAATCCTCATCAAATCACTCGCAAATTGAACAAAGCAACCATTAAATTCAATTCCATTTCGAAGTATTTCATCCAAAATACCTACAGAGGCGTCCAAACGTTAAATTATCGCGACTGTTGGAAACATTGGCCTTCGAATTCGTCCAAGCTCAAACGCGTGACTTTCTCGAATTGAAACCCCACTCCATCCCCTTCGTCCTCGCGCTCTTCCTCTTCCTCGCATGGATCCCCCTTCGAGTGCAGCGCATCGCCCACAAACTCCCCCACTCTTCCGCCGCCGCCAGCCTCGTTCGCTTCCTCCCCTCACGCGCCGCCAAGGACAACCACGATTGGCTCTTCAAACCCATGACGTTGGCCCTTGCTTCCGGCCTCAAAGGTACAAATCAAATGGATCACGTGCGCCTCGCTTCATATGTGAGAAATTCGAGCCGAGAAGTTGAGAGGGAATCACGCACACCACTGTAACGAGACTTTCCTCATTTGGACGATGCCACCAGGTTTAGGGTAAACAATAAGCATTCAACCTTCTAATCAATTTTTCTTTTTTCTTTTTTTACACAAAATATTAAAAATAGGAAATTGGAAATGCTTAGATTAAATTATCTAAGAATAGGTTATTGATTTTTTTATTTTAATTATTTTAAAAATAATATATAAAAAAAAGGTTGCCAAGTGTGACATGAAAAGATTTTGACAGGTTTAAACTGTTAAAAATACAATTCTTTTATAACAGTTAAAATAACGGCTAGAATTATAATATTTTGTGATGATTTTTTGAAACTGCCAGAAAAAACCCCTATTAATTATATAATTTTTTGTAGTATCTAATTCAAAGAGGAAAATAGGATTTGGTGGCGACAATGAATAGGAACCTTCTGGAAGCAAGAGTTGGACGAAGAAAGAGAGTTCAAAGGAGTGAAGGAGAAAGTAAAATTAGGTTTGATTTTGTAGACACAAATACATCAGCTTTAGTACGAAACGATGTAGAATAGCCATGATTTTCTTATTCTACGTCGATTATTAAAAGACTGGCATAAAGCTTTTGCGTTTAATTACAAAAGTGTCACGACTTCATTATTTACATTGATTTAACAATTGATATAGGAAGTCTGATATAGAACACTACTTTTGTAGTAGTGTGGGCCTAATCTCCTATAAATTAATGTGCTTAAATATTCCTTCAAAATCCATAATGCTAGTGGTATAAGGAAAAAGTTGCAATTCCTATCATTTTAGTCCAAAATATAAGTAAAATTAGTGCATTTTTTCCTTGTTGCCATTGATACACTAGTGTGTATGACATTTTTAATGACAAGTAAAAAATACATTTTACGTCAGTTATAAATTCATCATAGATTCTAATGACATAGAAAGTGTTAACTTTTTATGCCAGTTATAAAAATAATCGACTAAAAAGTCATTTTTTTATGTTTGTTTCCATAATATCATCTTTACATTGTCTTCCACCACCATATTTGACACTATCATGTTTGAACTTCTATCATGATGTTTGCTTTCAAACCACCACACTATCAATATTTAATCGATAACAACAAAATTGAAGAAAAAAAATGAAAGCAAAAGAAGAAAACGATTTATCTATATGTGCGATGAAGAGGACAAAGAAAAAGGAAATGAGACGAAACCATAAACAAAAGTTTGTGAAAAACATGAATTCCATTTTTTGAAATTTTAAAACACTTGTTTATGTTGGATGTTGTTTCACCCATCATAGAAAATTCTTTTTATGAAAGTTGTCATTACACCCATCATAAAAAAGGTTAGAGTCAACTACAAAATTGACCCTTCATAACTCATTCTATCATGGGTGTGTGACACACCCAATATAAAAAGAACTTTGTATGATAAGCGAGTCAACACCCATTATAAAAAGTTTGTCATATTTACATCTTTGTTATCATGTCACTTTCTATATCATGTAAATTACAACTTTCATAAAAAAAAAACTCTTTTTACACTAGTAATACTTCACACAATTTTTGTCTCATTTTTGGAAATTAAAAGAATATTTTTTGACTAGTTTTATAAAAAAAAACTATTATAATGCATTCATTTTTTATCTAATAATAAATTATTATATATTATAAACTTATTAATCTTTATACTAATATTTATCTTAAAGTTCTACAACTACTACTAAGTGGTCTTTTTTAGCTATGAATATAGTCAAGACTACACTTTGCAATAAAATGGATGATGAATTATTGACTGATTATCTATTAGTATACATTGAAAAGAAGATAGCATAAAAGTTTAGTATAAATTCAATTATAGATGATTTTCGTGACAAACAAGAGACACGTTTAGTGTTTTGATAAATTACTATTGTGATTAATATTTTGAAACACATATTTATGTTATGAATATATATATATATATATATATTAATAAATATGTATAAACTTAAAATTTTATTCAGAATATTCATAACATAAATATGTGTTTCAAAATATTAATCACAATAGTAATTTATCAAAACACTAAACGTGTCTCTTGTTTGTCACGAAAATCATCTATAATTGAATTTATACTAAACTTTTATGCTATCTTCTTTTCAATGTATACTAATAGATAATCAGTCAATAATTCATCATCCATTTTATTGCAAAGTGTAGTCTTGACTATATTCATAGCTAAAAAAGACCACTTAGTAGTAGTTGTAGAAATAGGAAGTGTGAAAATAAGACTTATCACATGCACAAGAGGATAAATTTGTGCTTTTCTAGTTTTTACCAACCAATGAGATAGATCCGAAATTGTTTCTAATGTTCCAAAATCAAGAAGTTGCCTCACATGATCATTGCCTCACATGATCGTTGCCTCACATGATCAAAATGCTCAAGTTGTGTCTTCAATTGTATCATTTCATATTCTGCAAAGTCTTGTGGGTAAAACTTGGTTATCAACTAACAAATGTCATCAATTCTAAATGACATCTGAATCTCTCTCGAAGCTAAAGTTGAATTAAGAATGAGTAATTCTATCGTATTATCATTGAATTTATCATTCAGTTCCTGCAATTGAGAGTCTATCACAGCATTGAAAATATTAACTTTGTAATAATATTTCATTGTAATGTCATTTTGTTGATGGCAAGCCCTTCCTACTCTTGCAATATCAGTAACCTTAAAATCTTGTATAGGTATGTTGACTGATTGACAAAAAGATTTGACATTTGTAACCAATTTATCCCATCCTTCATCTCTCAAATTTTGAATGAGTGACTTAGTAGATAAAGCTAAATGCATTGCATTTAAAATATCTTGAGATTAAAGTGGTAAATCTCGGTAAAGTGCATTAAAAATCTCTAAAATATTTCTCATGATATGTAAAATGAAAACAAACTCAAAAGAAGTTAATGCTTCATAAGATGCAACTGCATCACCTTGTTAAGCAATTGTAGTTCCATCCTCAATAATATTTAACAAAACCTCACATGTCGCACTAAACATGATCATCAAGCTAGAAATAGATTTCAAGTGAGAACTCCAACAAGTATAAGCTCTTTGTAAAAAACCAATTTGATTACGCCCTGACCCACTTTCAAGCTCATCATGCTGAAGTAAATGAGCAACATTTGCAACATGGACAATCTTTACTTGGTCATTATGTTTAAATGATGCACCAATAATATTGACAATAGCATTTAACTTGATAAAGAATTGATGATGGACATGAATAACTTCCTTAAAAGTGGCAACTAATGTCAATTGTAAGCGATGCGCAAAACAATGAACATAATAAGCATAAGGACACTCACTTGAAATAAAGCTTGCAAACCATTCCATTCTCCACGCATGTTACTTGCACTGTCATAGCCTTGTCCTTGAATAGATTGAATATTAAGATTATAATTGGAAAGGATAGTACAAATACCTTATTTTAGTGTTAATGCAACTAGATCTTTCACATGAATAAGCCTAAAAAAATGTTCATGTACACAGCCATCTTTGTCAAGAAATCTCAAAATAATTGACATTTACTTTCTTTTAGATTCATTTTAAGCTTCATCAACTATTATACAATACTTTTGCATCAACAATTTCTTCACAAATGACATTCCTCACTTTATTTGTCAAGACATGTAAAATTTGTTTGTGTTGTTGGTGATGTATATATGGCTTTTCACAGAGCTTTATCTAAATTTTTTGCTACTTTATAATAATAAGAAGCTAAAAAATTTGTTTGTGTTGTTGGTGATGTATATATGGCTTTTCGCAAAGCTTTATCTAAATTTTTTGCTACTTTATCATTATAAGAAGCTAAAAAAACTTAATAACTACAAAAAGTTTTCACGATTATTTGATTTGTTGGACTTATCACAACCTCTAAAAGAACATCCTTGAAATGCAAGCCACCTAATTGCCTTTATCAGTTTCCAAATGAAGTCTACTTTTTATGACTGATTGTGATGTGAAGTTCTCAAACCTTCTCGCGATGTGTGATGTTTGGTTCATGAGATCTACACATGCTCTCTACATTTTTATGAGCTGAAGTGATATTTTTTCTGATATGCAACAAGAGTGTACAATTTTTCCATTCCTTACCTTTTTCCATGATCAAAATCCATCAACAATAAATGCATGATAGACAAAATGCAACATCTACAATAGAGGAATATTCCAACCACGATGGAAATAACTTAAACCATGATGATTGAAAACTACGAGATGATTGTCTCTAGATTTTGGATAAATAGAAAGCACATATTGATAAGGACCAACTTTAATATAAGTTCTACGAACTTCATCACGCTTCTCAATTGGATATTCCCATATTTGTGGTCGTAATCCTAGATCACACTTTAATGAATTTATATCAAATTCTTCTTCAATTGTAACTCTCATAGATTTTGAAGGACAATCTTTCAAATTCAATTAATCTCTCTCCACAGATGGATTTGATGGCTCATTGAATGTTTGATTTTCAACATTTTTCTTTTTATAGAATGCATTGATTGTTGATGGCTTCTTCATATAAAAAAAAGTTATAATAACAAGGACTATAAAAGACATTTTGTTCACAAATTTACACACCTTAATTAAAAGAATATTGTATGAAACCATTAATTATAGATAAAATATGAAAATGGTTCACTAATTGTCAAGAATCTAGTCACAAATGTAACATTAAAATGTCACAACTATCATACATAGTATTTATTAATTATTATAACTAATTGTTATTATAATAAGCAAATTACATTAAATGTCATCGATTAAAAAATTATTAAATAAAAAAATAGCTTGACATTGACCATATAGTGTGATAAACAAAAATTGCAAATATGGTATCAATGTGCAATCAAATAGATTAATTATATTGTAAGTTATCAATTGAAGTGATTAATAAACCACAAATTTTTTCATCCAGTTTCTCGGTCTTTAAATACAAAAATTATATGAGGAAAAAAATAGAATGTGACAACATTTTCACTAATATGCCTGGAATTCAATATTTAGAACCAAGAAGAATTTAAAATAGTACATAATTATACAAAATAGAAAATACAAGAGAGAAAGATACAACCTTGATACATACTTCGAGTACTAAACTATGGTGATTGCCAAGGTATAAGATTTATGCAACAAGAAAATACATAAAGTCATAAATGATTATCTGTAAAGTTTGGCAAAGTTTGATTGCCCAGTGGATGGCCCCAGAATTTAAAACAAAAAGTATCCAAGCTCAAAAAAATAGAGCATCTGAGAAAGGTGGAAGTCTGCACACAGGTGGCTCCATCACCCCTCACGAGCATGCTATCCGGATGGTAATTACATTAAACAACTACTATATTTTATTCAACATAATTTTAGAAATATGATGATTAACTATTTATACAATTATAGTCACAAGAGTTGGGTCGCCTTCCACATGTTGATGAGTTGTTCCACCAAACTCATGTACGAAAGGTTACAGGCGATTTTGTCGACCAAAGATCTAAGCGAACATATGTGAGTTATGTTTTTTGTATTATTGCTTTATTCTTTTTAATTTTAATCATCTTTGATAAATGTCACTTCTAAACATCTTTATTTATGAAATAGGATCAATTTGAAACTATATTTAATCAAGCTAGGTCTGAGGCCGCATCTTGTACGGGAGGTTCTGAAACGTCTCCTATGGACCCAGTTGAGGAAGAAAGACTCCGCAATAAGAGTTGGATTGTTGCTGCTGGTGGGATTACAGACAAAAGACGACTTTACGGGGTTGGAAAAGTCACTTCTCCATTGACAGATGTGGATACCTTGATAAATATATCTTCTGGGCGTGCTACTGAAGAGTTAGAGAAAATTATTCAATTGGAAGAGCAAGTCCGTAAGTCTAGGGAGGAGGCTCGTCAATCTAGGGAACAAAATGAACGCTTGCAACGCCAGTTTCAATCCCTGTTCAATGCTGTTCTACCTCTCCTACCTTCTGATACACAACATATTTTGCAACAACAGGTGGATCAACAATGTCATGACAACCACGATGACCAACAACCACCGCCTACTGGACACTATGGGGATGACTATTAGTTTTTTTTATATAGATTATGGATCTACAACTATTTAAATATTTTTATTGATATTTTATTATGTACAATTTTAAAATTATCTTATTTTACACAATGACATGAAAACTAATTACCCATAATTGCTATGGGTATTTTGATTTTAAAGATGTTTGATTTCATATTGTGGTTAATTGAATTTGCCTAACTGAAGGATATATATAGGGTTATAGGATATTTTAAGAAATCTGAAAAGTGATTTTATTTATATTTTTGAGCAGGAACAATGATTGCTATGGAACAAACAATTTGTGCTATAAATCTGTTGAATTTCCGTAGGTAACTTAGGGAAATTTGCCTAGGTAAGTTACCTACGGAAATTTCTGTGGGTAAGTTACCTATGGAAATTTTCGTAGGTAAGTTACCTACGAAATTTTCGTAGGTAAGTTACCTACGGAAATTTCCGTAGGTAAGTCATCCGTAGATAAAATCCGTAGGTAACGTTACCTATGAAAATTTTTTCGTAAGTAACGTTATTTACAACCTTATTACCTACGGATTTTTTTTCCGTAGGTAATCTGTAGATAATTAACAGTTACCTACAGATTTTTAGCATTATCTACGAATTTCTTCCGTAGATAATACTAATTTTTCTTGTAGTGGAAGTGAAGTTGAGCTAAAAACAATAAAACAATATAAAGTGAAAGAAATAAAAAAATATATATATATACACTATAAACTAAAGAAAGAAAAAAACAGTTATAGTAATTACCATGAAAAATTACCAGAAAAAAAGGGAGGTGAAATTGTGATGATCAAAGAGAAAATGAAGTTGTAGAAGAAAGAGATAAAAAAAATACGAATAAACCTTTTTAACCTAATAATATATTATTGTTTTATTTAAAAAAATAAAAATAAAAAACGTAACCAAACCTATATATCTGTTGATTTTCATCTCAGCCCATTAATATATTTAACTAAAGAACAAATGATGAGGAATCGGACTTTAAATTTGTAATCACTTAATGTATTATAAAATAAATAAATAAAAATGATTAATATATTATATATAAAAAAAAAGTAAATACTTTGTCATACATGATTTTTTTTTTTAATCAGTTAATAGTATATAAAGAGTTATGCCAAAAATATATCACTGTTAAACTGAAGGTCATATTTAAGATAAGATAACTTTTAATCTAAGTAAAAAAATCACATTGAAAATCTATAAAAATTATTAAACTCGTTGATCTTATACAAGCAGAATTGAATAGGTTAATAAGTTCAAACTTATTCCATCCTATCAATCCAAGTAATTCTAACAACATCTCAAAACCATAAATAAAAAAAAAAATTTGAAAGTGAAAGCTGGTTGCACATTTTTGAAACCACACTTTTAAATTAACCAAGAGAAATATAGATATTATAATTTCAATGCAACTATTCTTCACGACACGGTGCATATAAATAATGAACTATTTGGAAGTAACTTACGGTTTACCTTTGGTATACAAAGTTGACTTAGGTCTTTGTTTATATAAACTTTTGAAAAGTATATTTTAGAGAGAAAATAAATTTTATAAGTCAAAATTAGTTTATAAATAAATTGATTTGCAAAAACTTATTTAAATTTTTTTTTCTTATTTTTCTCTTATAAAGAAGATTATCCAACCAGATTTGTTACATTTTTAAGCATGAATAAGAACCAAGAACACAATGATGGAACAAAACATATAATAACTTCAAACTTTCATCAAAAACCTAGTTCCTAGCTTTATTGAAAGCCGAACATTTCTTGCGAATTTCTCCTTGATTCCCCACGAGAACATCAACCTTCCCCATCTTCACCATGGCATCAGCAAAACTCCTGTGAAACTTGTCACCATCGGTGGCGAAATCCGTGACAAACCCTTTGGTCCGTGTATCCAAGGCAAGCTCCTGATCAATGAGCAACACCCCTTTGTTGGCGAGAATCTGTCTATAGAACTCATTATCAAGCACAAAAGAAGTCTTCTGGTCCAAAGGCGCAGAAGGGTCCCCTCTCGCTTCGCACACCTTCACCAACTTGGCGTCCAGCTTAGGGTCCATGGTAGGGTCGGGTTTCCCTTGCGAGCTCGAGAGCCTGTTGGCGAAGAAACCGCAGTGCGCAACGCCAACGGTGTGGGCCCCCAAGAGGGTCACCATTTCCTGCGCTGTGATGCCCTTGCTTGCGAAGAATGCTGAGGTCACGGACACCGGGCTGTTGGGCCCCGGAATGTTCACTTCCTCCATCTTGGAGACCAGCCCGTCGCGTCTTCCCGTCGGAACGCCGTATTTGGGCCCTCCCGACAAGCCCACGGCGTCGCGGGTGGCTAGGGTTATGATGTCCGCGCATGACACTGTGGAGGGACATGCGGATTCTAGGGTTTGCTTCGCTTCGTCGATCAGGTCGTAGCCGCGGACGTCGACGTTTGTGCCGGAGTCTTTCTCGGCGGTGTTGGTGCTGGTGGAGTTTATCAGTATGGAGGCATCACAACCCTGAAGAAGAGGGTTTTGTTACATATTTGATAATACAACCTTAAAATATAAGAATGGATAAGAATATATATCAATATAGAGATATATGTATGTATGATCATTCTTGATGTAAAAAACTGAAATTATAAATTATCATTTCCTTGAACTATAGAATAAGAATATAAAGATAAATAATTTTTTTTAATTCATCAAAAGTACAATATCAATACGAATATTCAAATCTAAGAATTTATGTGTAATTTATTATGATCTCCTAGTTATCACTAGGTCAACTTTATTAGTTGTGATAACACACTTTTTAATTAGTAGTTTGTAGCATTAATGAATGAGTAATAACATATAAATACTTGTATATATAAAACACTTCATTTCTCTTTATCTCTAGCATCTTATTATATTATTTTACTTGCACTTGTCTATCTTAGTGCTAAATAGAATTAGAGTATCATTGATTTTTTAAGCGGTTTCATGCATAATAAAGAACCTATTGAAGAGGAAGAAGAAAATGTTGCTGCCTTTCTGTATATGTGTGTGATGAGATTAATTGTAATTTGTTTCTTACTCTGATAGCACAGTCATGGAAATGCATGCGAAGTAAGGCTGCAGTAATGGACTTGTCACGCTTGAATCGATTCTGCACCACTTGCTTCACAATGGACTCCGCTTTTGGGCACGAGGAGTCGTAGAAGCCAACCTTGAAATCCGCGAGTGCCAAGGGAAGTATGAAGCAAAACAAGAGGATTGTGATCTTCATTATGGATACTTAATTAACTTGTTACTCTTTTTCAACGCTATGGTTTTTGTGCCTCTCAGGATGGGATTTGACTTGGTATATATAGAGACAGAAAGAAAGGGGTAGTGCATGGGCATGGTTGGTTGAAATTGCCGTCTGATGAGACTTTGAAGAATTTTATTTTTCGCATAGCATGCAGCTAATACAGCCAAAATTTGAATTTCTATGTGAAAACTGAAAAGTGCGTGGTTCCATCAAGGTAATGCTGAAACTTGGACAGGTATGTTTATTTTTATTGAAAGATGTTCACCACAAAATGCAAACTATTTCATATATAATTAATTAGTTTCCTTAATTACTGTGACCCTAGTAATGCATATGGAATTTGCACATTAATGAAATTTATAAGATATCTCTGTTTTAGTTTTTCAAAAAGAAATTGTCTTATTTTAATTTTTTAATTTAAAAATGTACCGTTTTTAATCTATCAAAATGAGATCCAGATAACATTATATAAAACCACATTTGAAAACAAAAGGCGATGCATTTTTAAATTAAAAAAGACAAAAATACTACCCCAATAAAGATTGAAACCAAATTTAGAGAATATTATTAAAAAGATTAAAAATATATTCTATCCTTAAATTTTTTACTATAGAAAAAGTATAAATATTTAATGTCTAATTATATATATATGCCTCAAATAAGATTTTATATATATATATATATATATATATCTATATATATATATGT